ATATGTAAAACGAAAAAAGGTACTATGAAAATGGAGGATGTTCCATAAGTTGTCTAAATTATATTGAAATCCTTTAATATATATCCAACAGAGTTAACTAAATAAAAAGTTACATTTTTTCCATCGAACCTATATTGATCCATTACTTAACTCTTTTAACAATGCACAAAGAAATGTTCCAAAAAAAAAGATATGACTTATAAATAAAGGACTAAACTTGGGTTACGATGAAGTTCACGTTTGCAACTCATATTTCCATATATCGTCCTTTGAAGAATATATCATATCTCAAGGGACTGAAAAGGGAATAAAAGAGAAATAAAAGGGTAGTATCGTACATTGTAAGATTGGTGGGGCTACTTATTGTAACAATTCACTGGAAGGCTTAGACACGGTGATACCCTCAAATATCGTATTACCATTCAAAATCACCTCACCATTTCCATCAAATCAAAGAAAAGCATCGATCGATTAGGGTTGCCCTGCTCAAGAAATCAACTTGTTGCCTCGCTATTTCCATTCTCGTTCACCACTCGACGACTTTCCACTACCCCACCGATCACGCCATTGTCATTCCTTCCACCGATTCGTGAATCACAAAGGCTTTTGCTTTACAGTTGAGTAAGAATCGTAATCAATGGAGGTCGTCGCACCTATCGTTGATGATGGGAAGGCTTGCAGCGATATCTTGCTTTTTAACCGCTGGACCTACGATGACGTTCATGTCATCTTCTTAACCAATTAATCCAAATTCACCGGTATCAGTAGATGTTTGTTTGTGTAAAGTGTTTCAGTATTCGCGCTTCCTGTTAATTTCTTCAATGGTTGTGTGAAATTAAGCTCAATGTATTGTGATTCTAGCTCATGAACATCAATCTTGATCTTGTTGATTTAGAATAATATGTGAATTATGTAAACAGGTTCCTGATCTTTCTGTACTACTACTGCATCAAAGCACCCAATCTACATGCCTCACACAACCGGAAGGTACAAAGCAAGGAGGTTCAGGAAGGCTCAATGCCCAATTGTGGAGTGATTAACCAACTCTCTCATGGTGCATGGGAGAAACAATGATAAAAAGCTCATGGTTGTTCGCATATTCAAACACGCAATGGAAATCATCCATCTGTTAACCGATGCTAATCCCATTCAAATCATCGTAGATGTTGTCATTAACAGGTACACAATCAATCACCTTCACCAGCTTCACTCTACTTCTTTTCAACCATCCTTACATTTCCAGTAGTATCTCGGCCTGTGATGAAGCAATGGATAATTTTTCATCTCTGATTACTCAGAAAACTCATGTTGATATGAGTAATAGCAAAGCTAGATTGGAGATACTCCTTAATTTCGTTAATATGGATATTAGTTACTACTAACACATACGTCGTTTTGGAATATGCAATTAGTGTTTTTACTTATTAGCTTTCCTGATTTAATGCAACCTGACATTTGACATTTCTTACAGATTATGTATTTGTAGTCAATTCAAAGGTGAAGATAATCCATGTGGCCGGAGTATGTGACATGGATCCTTAGTTCCTTACAAATGGTCTAAATCAAAATGGAGATGTGTAATGGTACTTCACATGTCAACCTCATAATTAGTTTTATTATTTTATACTTTGATTCTTTAAATTTCAAACCCATTTATAGGATTATGTGAGAGATCACGATAGGAGATTATGTTTGAATTACAGGTTTGGGATCCAAAATCATCGAGTTATGTTTGAATATTCTATAGTGCATTGGAAATCTCAATTCTCACACTCCATTTTTGCCTTAATAGTTTCATATCCGGCTCCATAATCCCTTATTTCTTCTTCTCCCTCTTAATTCTCAGCGCAAAAAAGAAAATATTACTTGTTTGGTGGCACTGGGAACAGATGATGGTGAAGTCTTCACCATTAATGCCACTTCTGTAGAGTTAAAATGGAAATCTTCTGGACATCATCATAGGTATGCTAGGAAAAAATAATAGATGATATGATCATAAATTTTCTGATTATTGATGGTTAAAATAACCAAATTTGGAGTAATACCTGAAGCTCAGAACTTTTCCATGTGCAGTAGAATTGTTGCTCTTTCTTTTGCAAACAAAGGGCGTAAACTTTGTGCTATAAGTACAGATGGAACAACATGCGAAATGAACTGTGAAACTGGTGAACTGTTAAAAGAAATGAAAATCTCAAATCAACTGATCTCTTCATCTGTATATATTTTTCTGGCGAGTTTTCCCAACACATGGTCCTTAAATTGTCTTAACCTTTTTCTTCTAACGTTTGTTTTCTTGTCATGATAGATGATAAAATATTAGCTGCATCAAATACCAAGATCAGAGTTCTCACCTTAGATGATGGAGAAGAACTACTTAAGTTTTCCACAGATGTTGTATGTTCCTACCTTTTGTATGCACATTTTTAAAGTGATTACTGCAGTTCTGATGATTTTTTTTTGACTTTTCTTTAGGGTCATGTGAATCATATGTTTATGTTGTATGATACAAACACCATAATTACATATGTATTTGGTGACAAGAATCTGCATGTGTGGAAAAATGGATAAAGTCAACAACCATTAGCTGCAGGAGACTATGCATCGAGTACAATTATTCCAGCTTGTAAAGTTGTGATTGACATATCAAATGCTGCAAAAGATTTGATTTATTAAGAAGTTTCGGCTTTTTATCAAAATCTTGATAATACCCTTTACATGCTTCCATCAACCCCACAAGCAATGTTGGAGGCAATGGGTGGCTCTACTGGACCTGATGTTGTCATTGCTGCAAAAAGAATGCTGCCCTTTTGACTGCCCGAGCTGGTGCCCGAGACCCCTCTGCTATTCCTTCTATTTATCGTGTTTCTGCTGCCCTTCAATATCATGTAGGTGTGTGTGCGTGTTTGTGTGTGTTAGAATGATGTGAAATTACTAAAATACCCTTGGTTAATTTTAGGGTTGCAAGGTTTGGATGCCCGCTTAGCATGATGTTGGAATCGATGGAATTTTGTTTGAAGTTGCGGGGGTTCGGAAGCTTGTGTTTTGGAGGACTTAGCCAAAGCTATCAATCTGGTGCATATCAGGAGGGATCTTATGGAAAGTGGTCACAAGTTGCTAAACCATGCTTATCACAATCTACAAGAATATGAAAGGTATGAGGGTGGAACTGGAATCTATGATTCCGAAGGAATTGGAATATGTGATTCCATTCCAATGCTAAATAAACGGAGTTTAATTCTATCTGAAGGTGGAACTAGAATCAGTGATTCTGATGGAATCAGAATCTGTGATTATGTTGGAATCAGAATCTATGATTCCATTCCACTGCCAAATCAACGGAATTTAATTATATCTGAAGGTGGAACCAGAATCAGCGATTGCGACAGAATTGGAATCAGTGATTCTGACGGAACCAAAACCTTACAAAATTCAAATGAAAACCAAAATTGCAAGAGAACCTTTTGACATTATGGTTAGTGTAATGGAATGTATTTTTGTGTAAGTATGATATCTTATTTTGCATTATTAGACATTAAATGTGTAATTTAGTTTTTTTATTATTTGGTACAAATTAAGAATATATATATATATATATATATATATATATATATATATATATATATATATATATATAAGGCCATGACATACAAAATATGTCAAAAAACTATGTCAAAAATCATGTCGTATAGAATGTCATAAATGTTTGTCATAATTGCAAGAATGTTACAAATTACGACATACAAAGCCAATCTTAAATGTATGTCGAAAACGTGTGTCGTGTATGTATGTTGTAATTGTGGGTCATAAAGGCCTGTCGTAAAATTTATGACAGGCCAAATGCCTGTCATTATCCTTTATGACATGACTTTCAATGACAGACATTTGTCTGCCATGTATAGGCATTTACGACAGACAATGTCTGTCAAGGAAAGCCTTTTTCCTAGTAGTGTGTGAAGGAAGAAAAATAATAAAATCACCAAGCTATGAGATAACAACAGAATACCCTAAATGACCAAAAGTATTGATCGTTCCAAAAAATATCAGGCAAGTAGTTAGTGAATAGAATTATCTCACTCAATTATGTGAGCTAAAATCAATAATAGAATTATCTCACTCAATTATGTGAGCTAAAATCAATTCGCATTCTTTTAGTCAGTTATTCATCCAGTCGCACTTCAGCCCTCAAACTTTGTATCTTACTCATTTTCACCCTTTAGCAACATCATATTTCCATTTGAAGTCCTACCTCTGCAATTTCATTGCGCCTTGACCGGTGGCAACAATACATTTTAACAAACACAAACCAAATTAAAAGTTTCCAAGTAAAATTTGAATTTACCTTATATAATTTAACATTTATTCATACAAAATCTTTTTTAAATTTTTTTTAAATATGATGAATGGTCGTAAGATGCAGGACATACAATTTTCGACATGATACGAATCAACACGCAAATAAAAAGGTTTGGGTCATAGATGCCAACTCGTTTAATTCAACAGGTTGACACGATACAAACAAAAATTAAACAGATAAAGTTAGACTCCAAACTTTGAACACCAAAATGACATGCTTATCTATATGCAACTTCTTTTAATTTTTTTTAGGAATGACACATTGACCCTACTATATATTACCACTTTGCTCATTCAACCCCTAAATTTTTTTCATGCTTTTTGAGGGAACAAAGTGTTTAGTGACCTGCCCATTTAGTCCTCTTAACCTTTTTTAACCGGTTAATAGTGCCGCATAAGCAAGTAAAGCCAACTTAGTTAAAAATTAGACCATACGACAACGTTTTGAACATGACACAACATAATCCAGTTAACATTTGACTTGGACCATACGACGTCGTTTTCAACATAACCCTTAGGGGGCAATTTTCGGACTGTTCATTGCCCCAAGTGGTTATAAAACAAATGTTGGTGCCCTAAAATGATCAAAGCCACTAAGTTTCTTGCCCTAAACTCGCAAAACCTATCCTACCGTACGCAAGACAAACATGCCTTCTCTTACGTCGTCACGCCACAACTGGTCCTTCGAAGATCGTCGTCACATAGAAGCGAATGACTCTATTGCAGGCGAGCCACAAGACACCCATATCACTCTTCTCCAACTTCAGCTTGAGGTTTCCCTTATCAGGGAGGAAGTCAATGTGGACAAGCGTCAACTAAGGGAACGTCTTCATCAGGAGATGGGTTTCATGAATCGTGAGGTGGATGATATAAGGGCAGGGCTTTTGGTGGTGTCCCATTTGACTGACGACATGAGGAACCACTTTTATTCACTTTAGCCGACGTATGTAAGGGAAACAACTGACATAGCTAAGATGAAGAAGATGATTGCTTTCACATGTTTATTTGGAGTGATCGTTGTTGTAGGAGTGGTGACAACTTACAATTGGTTCTGGTGATGAGGTAGTTGGTTTGCTTTGTTAGGGTTTTGTGTTTTGGGTGTTGGGTTTTGGGTGGTTAATTCTTTGTGTTTTGGTGTAAGTAGTTAGTATAATTATGGTTTTTTTGGTATGGTAGATATTTTGTTGTATGTGGCTGGTAAATATGGAAGTCACTATCTTGGATGTCTTTTTCTATGTATAAAAACAAAATCGTGAATGGTATTATGTACTTAAAAGGAATTTACAAAACTCGGATGAATGAAAAAGAATATTATGGATATATACACATTTCCCCTTTATTTTAGTACACCCAACACATGTTGTAGGACCCAAAGGTAGAACTTGTTCATGTTTGTTGCTCTATTTTAAGGAAAAAAATTTTGTTCAATATACAGATTTGGGACCACATGCTGTAAAGGTTTAAGGAAAACAAACTTTTGTTTTATATGCCAAATTGGGGATATCAGGCCCCTCAATCCCTACGACTTGCACATACCAATAACTAAATAAAGTAACCACTTTTTTATGCACATGGCCAGAAAGTTACCAAAACAGGAATAAATAAAAGGAATTTTTTTTTGTTTCTGATTAAAAGGAATTATATTGAATATGATTGTTTATTCCCATGTTTAGAATGTGCTTTTTTGCAACATGGATATATTTATGTGACCATAAGCCGGACAACATTGGTAAGGACAAATATGGAAACAAAATCTACATGGACCACAACTGTGACATGCACTTATTCTTCATTGATAATTGAAGGGGAATTAAGGAAAGCATTTATACCAACATTCTAAATAAACAATTAAAAAGCAATAAAAAATTACATAAATGCCCTTGTCTATAAGAACCTTTCAACATATAACATACAGATAAATAGAAATTACATAAATACCGCTCCCCTATACACTACACCCACACTAGTCCACATCCATAGGCTTTGCTGCACTGCTACCTTCACCTTCAATTTTTTTCCTAACTTCATTTTAAGGATTAGTTCAGACTTCTTCCTCTTCCTTGGTTGTTCCACTTTACCAAACTGCAGCTCTTGGTCATTAACCCTGATATCCTAATCAGCATCATCACCCATAACAACATCTTCCCAGCCCTTTCCATTTTTACTGACTCTTATGTTTGTATCACACATTGTCTTTTCCTAACATTAGTTTTAGGAGGCCTTTCAACTTGAGAACAAGTGCTCTTATTGTGTCCTCTCTATTTGTATATCAAGATATAGGTTTCCCAGCCTTTGATACAGTGTGTCTGCCAGGCCATTCTGAACCATCTCTTTTTCTCTTTATAGTAGGTCTGCCATGTAGACCTGTCAATGGGGCAGGTTTGGAGCGAATCACCCTTGATCCAAACCCATTTAAAAAAAATAAAAACATGACCCACCCCGCTCCAATAACCCTCGGGGTCTTGAATAGTCGAATCCATACCCATATCCACCGAATCAATGAATACCCAACCCTCTTATAATATTAAATTTTCATAAATTTTATGTGTTCCAAAAAGTTATATTTCTCAAAAAGATAAAATGTCTACTTAAACAAGATGTACATTAATTAATACTCAAAGTCCAACACAATAAAAATCACATTTTACTTAGAAATCGAGTTGTATATTTTGTTGTCATATATATATATATATATATATATATATATATATATATATATATATATATATATATATATATATATATATATATTAAATGGGGCGGGTCATAAGTGGAGCGGATCGACAACGGTCCATACCCGACACATTTACGAAAAGGGTAAACGGATATGGATCGTAAACGGGTAAATGAATCAAAACTTAAAATCCAAACCTGTTAAATTCTTATGGGTTTGGAGCGAATCATGTAACAACGTAAATTTCCAAAACAATTTTTCATTTTTAAAACATACTCTTAATCACAAAGTAATATCAAAACATAATGTATCCAATGTTATCATAACAAAACATATCCCAGAATCTCAAAACATAAACTCCATGAGTGTGTACGGATCATGCCGGCGCCTTCCCGCGATCCTCGCTAGTACCTGAAACACATAACACAACAACTGTAAGCATAAATGCTTAGTGAGTTCCCCAAAATACCACATACGCACATGCGCCACTCAAGGCTATAAGACCTTTCGGTCACTGTGTCTTAGAGGACTTCCGTCCCACAACCCTGGTAGACCTTCCGGTCCTACCCGTAATGACCTTCCGGTCCTCATCATCTTGACCTTCCGGTCCATTCACTGTTGACCTTCCGGTCCATTATCATAATGATCTTCCGGTCCATACCATACTACTCATAGCACATACATATCACATAACAAAATACATCACATATTCTGCATAGCATATAAGACCTTCCGGTCACACATAATTACCACTCTAGGTAAAGTATAGTGAGAAGACTCACCTCGTACGATGTCAGATAACCTCTCGTGCTCGATAACCCGACCTAGCCTCCTCCTATTAACATAATAACATCTCTAATCAATACTTTCTCTTGTCCTCATTTCTAAGGAGTGGGTAAAAGACCATTCTACCCCTTCCAGATCTCTCTCTAGAACCAGCTTGACCAAAACTCTAAGGTCAACTGAAGTCAACTCAAGTCAACGGTCAAACTTTGACCAGACTCGTCGAGTACACTTGTGTGACTCGGCGAGTCCAGGCGTCTTCCGAATCCTCATAGATCTCCATTTGACTCGTCGAGTTAACCCTTTACTCGACGGTTACCACTGGTCATGAATCGCGGGGCAACCCCGACTCGACTCGTCGAGTGCACTAATGAACTCGGCGAGTTCCTTCCATGGCAACACTCAAATGACTTTCTGAGGTCAGATCTGTTTCTCTAACCTATAGATCTGACCTTACCATACCCAAAAATCACGTAAAGGTCCGACATTTACACTCATGCAACGTCCATAAAGCTTCTTTTGGTGAAATAGCCTCTAAAATGGCAACCTAGGTTCATATCTCTAATGGAATAGCATAAAGCAAGATAGATAGGACTCTCTGGACCTCTTAAGGTCCAGATCTAAGAAGAACTCCACCTTGGGACCTCACATACTTTGAATCCAAGCTAAAGAAGGCATAAGAAAACCCTAGATTCAAGTAGATCACCAAATACATGAGATTGAGCACAGATTAATACCTCTAGCAGCCTCTTCTGATCAAATGGTGGTAGATCTGAGCTCCTCAATCTTCCTTGCTTGCCCTCCTTCCTTCTTTCTTGCAAAAATCACACTTAGAATGATGAAAACGACTTCTTCTCTCTCTCACAACGCTCTCAGGTGCTCTGGTGTTCTAAAGGGTGATGGTGGCCGCAAATGAGGGCCATAAGGTCCCTTAAATAGGGCACATGCCCGAGGATTTAGGGTTTCCACCCACAACGCCTACTCGGCGAGTCTACTCTTGGACTCGTCGAGTAGTTCATTAAACTTACGTGGCCACCCCGCTTCTATTCGACGAGTTATAGTACCAACTCGTCGAGTAGATCAATGATTCACAAAAATAAATAACTAAAATAATATAGCTGGAATCAGGGTGTTACAATTCTCCCCCACTAGAATCAGAGTTCGCCCTCGAAGTCTCGCTCCGCAAATAACTCAGGATGCTGCTCCCGAATCTCCGCCTCCGGCTCCCAAGTCAACTCGGACCCTCTCCGATGTTGCCAGTGGACCTGAATCAGGGGCACCTCCTTGTTTCGCAGGACCTTGATCTTCCGATCCAGGATCGCGATCGGTCTCTCAACATAATTCAGTCTCGCATCCAACTGAATATCCTCCAGCGCCACCACCGCCGACTCGTCGGCTATACACTTCCTCAATTGAGACACGTGGAAGGTATCATGAATTTTGCTCAACTCCGCAGGTAGCTCCAATCGGTACGCTACCCTGCCCACCCTCGCGGTCACCCTGAACGGACCAATATACCGAGACCCCAGCTTGCCCCTCTTCCTGAATCGGATCACTCCTTTCCAAGGAGACACCTTCAGGAGTATGAAGTCTCCGACCTGGACCTCAAGCTCGGATTGTCGCCTATCCTCATAACTCTTCTGGCGACTCTGAGCTGTCAACAACCTCTGCCTGACCTGCTATATCTGCTCAGTCGTCTGAAGCACTATCTCGGTGCTACCCATCACGCGCTGCCCTACCTCTCCCCAACAAATGGGAGTCCGACATCTCCTCCCATACAACAACTCGAAGGGAGGCATACCAATACTCGAATGGTGGCTGTTGTTATAGGAAAACTCAGCCAACGGCAAGTACGTGTCCCAACTTCCTCCGAAGTCTAACACACATGCTCGAAGCATATCCTCGAGTGTCTGAATCGTCCGCTCACTCTGCCCGTCCGTCTGTGGGTGGTATACGGTACTGAAATGCAGCCTCGTACCCAACTCCTCATGGAACTTCTTCCAGAACCTGGAAGTTAAACGTACATCTCGATCTGACACAATCGAGATCGGTACTCCATGACGCGATACCACCTCTCTCACATACAACTCGGCCAGCCTCTCTGCGGAAGAGCTCTCACTGATAGCAAGGAAGTGGGCGCTCTTCGTCAGCCGGTCAACGATCACCCAAATTGCATCGACGCCCCTCGCGGTCCTTGGCAATTTGGTGATAAAATCTATAGAAATCTGTTCCCACTTCCACTGGGGAACCTCAAGTGGTTGCTACTTGCCATGCGGACGCTGGTGCTCGGCCTTAACCTTGCGACAGGTCAAGCATCTCTCAACAAACCACACGACATCCCTCTTCATACAGGGCCACCAATACTTTCTCTTCAGGTTCAAATACATCTTAGTGGCCACGGGATGGATTGAGAACCTCAATCTATGCGCCTCCTCCATCAGAATGGAACGTGCCCCGCCTGCATACGGCACCCAAATCCGA